GCCACAGGGCTGGGGGGCAGGACCTGGGCTCTGGTGACACGGCTGTGACCCTCAGTGCTGTCCCTCCCACAGGTTCACGGATGCAGAGGCAGTGGTGATGGGAGATGTGACCTACGGCGCCTGCTGCGTGGATGACTACACGGCCCGGGCCCTGGGCGCTGATTTCCTGGTGCACTATGGACACAGCTGCCTCAGTAGGTGACACTGAGCCCCAGGGTGCTGCTGGGGTGCCTGTGTGTGGCATTGTGCCCATGCCACCCCGAGCAACTCCACACCCCTCTGGATACCAGCTCGGAGACTTAGTGCCAAAGGCTAATCCCTTCCCAAAAGACTCTCTGTTCTCCAGCTTCAGCTGCTGGCTTTGGATGGGGCCAGGCTGGCTGGGTGGCTGCTCACAGGCAGGATTTGGGGTGCAGCAGGGCGTGCTCATCCTGCTCGGCTGCTGCAGCAGCACACAGCTCCAGCCATGTCCCCGAGAGCAGAGCAGCGAGGCCATGGCTTGGCAGGACCCCCTGGCCCAGGGGATGAGGCTGCTCCTGCTCCCCACCTGGCCTCCGAGGAGTGATGACAAAGGGAATGGTGGCAGAGGAGAGCAGGGGCCTGGGGGTCCTGCTTGCCCCAGGGCCAGGAAAGGCAGCTTTGAGGGTACAGTGCAGGCTGGGCGGGGAAGGGAGGAGGAGGAGGAGGCTGTGTGCTCCCCAGGCGGACAGTACTCTGGATCCAGTTGCCATGGAAACTGCGCTGCTGTCCCAGATGCTGCTAACTTTGAAGTCCACCCAGGATGGAATCAGCCCAAAAATAACAATAAGACGCTCTGGGTTTTAAGGTGGATCTGCAGAATTGCCATAATGAGTAGGAGGTGTGTGCATCCCTGCTGCTGCCACGCTCCCAGCACCTGGCAGCCCTCCTGGACGTGTATGGGGCCCTATAAATGGGTTTGAAGAATTGCATCAGGCTCTGTGTGAAATACTGACTCCCCAGTTGAGAACTCTGTCCTGAAAGCCACGCTGGTGTGAGCGTTCCTGGTGATAAATATGTGTGCTAGGTGCTTTGTTAAGGGAGAAGGGTTATGGGCACCACTGGAACAGGGAGTGTAAAACTCCTGGTTTGTAGCCTGCTGCTCATGAATGAACAGCAGGAAGGGGAAGAAGGGGCCGTATCCATCAGGCTGCTCCAGGGAATGGGAGTCACATCAGCTGTAGCTGCTCCCTGCAGGGACAGGCAGGCACTGCCATGCTGACTGTCACCACACCAGCTGCCATCTGCTGCTCATGGCCTCATTTCCCTTGCTCGCTCTGGGTTGGGTGGGTCACAGGGCAGAGCTGGGTGGGTCACAGGGCACCCTGGGTTACCCTCGGGCTGCTGTGAGGATGCTGGGCTCATTTTGAGCTGCCCACAGTGGTCCTGTCACCAGGGTGGCCAGTGGTGAGGCACACGATGCTTCCTGCTCCCTGCCAGCCCCATGTGCCCCGCAGGAGGGAGTAATTTGCACTTAATTGTGATCAGGCAAAGAGCACCAAAATGGGAAGTGAACATGGAGCTGTGGATCGATGTGGACTCTGTGTACTTTAATTATTCACTTAATCGTGGTGACAAAGGCTTCTTAGCACCAGGGGTAATTAGATTTGTGTTCATTGATTCCCCAGGCTGCCATTATCTGGAGAGAAACGAGCGGGTGCTCTCTGTGGCTCCCATCTGCACCCCCTGCCCTGGGTGCCAGCACAGGCAGAGGGGTGGCAGAGCCCAGCCTGCCTGTGCCAGGGCAGTTTGGGGCACAGGGAGCCCCACCAACAGGCAGCAACACCCTGGGGCTCGCTGGAGCCCTGGGTGTACCCCACACTCAGACTCTGTCTCCTCCTGTCACCAGTTCCCATTGACTCCACCCAGGGGCTGAAGATGCTCTATGTGTTTGTGGACATAAAGATCGATGCATCCCATTTCCTTGAGACCATTCGCTTCAACTTTGCAGCAGGCACCTCCCTGGCCCTGGTCAGCACCATCCAGTTTGTCTCCACGTTGCAGGTGAGGTGCAAATCCCTGGCTTTTGTCTCCCCCTGAGTTTTCCTGCGGCTCAGCCCTTCCCTGTCCCAGCCCCGCGGCTGCCCTGGGGGTGCTGGTGGAGCTGGTTCCCCTCTGACGAGTCTCTGCAATAATGTGGCGCTGCCAGAACGTTGATCAAGTACTTTATAATAACTCTGATCAATGTTTCATGGCGGCACCCCTCCCCTGCTCCCCCGGGAGCTGCTCTGGAAATGTCAGGGCAGGCGGTGGAGCACTTGGCATTTTGATGCAGTGCCGGCAGCGGCCGGGGGAGCTCCGGCGGCTCTGTCTGTCTGCCCCTCAACGGCCGGCTGGCCAGGAGGGGAGGAGATGAATGAGCCTCTTGAGCCGTGTCTATCAAAACACGGGGCTATCCAAGCGTTAAGCCTTTTCCCTTGTCTTTTAATTGATACTTTGGTCGAGCCTCGCTGAGCATCCCCGGCTGCGCGGGGCCGTTCCTGGTGCTGCCCCAAGCAGGCTGGTTCCCCTCCACAACAGCTGGTACTGCCAGGGTTGGGGTGTCCCCAAGGATCCCCAGCCACCCTTTGTGTTTTTCCTGTCCCTGCTGACCTCCATGTCCCACAGGCAGTGTCACAGGAGCTGCGTTCCCAGTACAAGGTGTGTGTGCCCCAGTGTAAGCCACTGTCCCCAGGAGAGATCCTGGGCTGCACGTCACCCCGGCTCGCTCAGGACACGGATGCCATTGTGTGAGTACCCGGGGTCCTTCAGCACCCTCCTGCCTGGCCCTGACTTGCCATCCTTCCTGCACCCCCTGCCTGGTTTTGTGCAGTTTTAGAGGGTGTTTAGGGCTATCCACAGGCTAGGATGGGCCCCCTTCAGCTCCTCACGCTGTGTGCTTGTAGCACCCTCCTGCCTGGCTCTGACTTGCCATCCTTCCTGCACCCCCTGCCTGGTTTTGTGCAGTTTTAGAGGGTGTTTAGGGCTATCCACAGGCTGGGATGGGCCCCCTTCAGCTCCTCACGCTGCTTTAAGTGGCGTGTGCTTGTAGCACAGAGGAAATAATTGAGTCGTATATCAGAATAGATAATAGATGGAAGGGCGGGTGGATAATTGGAAAAGACAAATGGCCGGGGCCCAACATCACAGCAACATTAATTTTATTTAAGGACAGCAAATTAGAGGGAGCACTTCGCTTCCTATCACCTAATTATTTTAGGTAATGGAAATGCTTAATGTACTGTGAATACAGTGTGCTGCAGAATAAATAAATACAAGGACCCCACCCTTGGGGGGAGCTGGGGAGCCCAGGTATTGGTTTGGGCTTTGCTGAGCTCCTTCTTGCCCACTCTGCTGGGAGCCAGCAGCACCAGTGCCTTTCCAAGCACGGCCATGCAGGGAGCTGGGCTCCACATTGCTGGACACAGGAGCAGTGAGAGCTGTGGATTCATCCTGAGCCACTCTCTGTCTCTCCAAGGACGGCAGGGGCAGCCAGGCTGGCACTGCATGGGTGAGAGTGGGTCCCTGCAGCTGGCACAGGAGCGGCAGTGCAGTACCAACCCGCGCAGGTGCACTCGGCCTTACCTGCGTCCTCCCTGCATTATTATTTTCTTCTTTGCACCGTCTCTGGGGCTAACTTTTGCAGACAAATTAGCTTTGATCTCCCAAAATGTCATTCTCCAATTAAGGGCAAAATCTAGTCAAGTTTTACGTCTGAATTCATTTTCCAGGCCCTCACTCCATTAGGGCAGCTGAATGAAAGGCTTTGAAATGTAATTGCTGACTGGAAATCCGATTAGAAATGGAAGCAGCAACGTCTAGAACCAGCCATTGAGATGGAGCAGCTCCCAGCCGCCCCGTGCTGGTGTGAGCACCCTCCTTGCTCCGAGCATGGCTGCCTCTCCAACCCTGCCATGCCAGGGAGCCCTGGCTGTGCCTGCTGCCCAGCAGAGGAGTTTGAATTCCTGGCATCTCCACTGTGCTGCAGTTTGGAAAACCAGTGGACACATGGTAGGGGTGCTGCTGTTTCCCAGTGCCAAAACTCTCCCTCCCCTCTCTGCAGGTATTTGGGCGATGGGCGCTTCCACCTGGAGTCCATCATGATCGCCAACCCAGGGATACCTGCATACAGGTACAGGCACCCCCTCCAATCCCATGGTGGGGACCCTCCCATCTGTCCCCATGTGCCCCCCAGCAGCAGGCATGGGCAGGTGAGAGGCCACGGGGTGGGTGAGGAGGTGCTTGGGGGAGATGAACACCAGCCATTTACTCCGGCTGAATATAAACATTTTGACAAGTACCTGTGAAAGCTCGTGGAGGTGCAGCCATTAAAGCCCGGCTGCTGCAGGCAGAGGCCATAAAGCGCGATGATGAGGCCGCTGAAAGCAGATGAAATATCAGGAGTGAAAGGCTGGGCCCATTTGGAGGAATCTGAATTTCCTAGTAGGTCGTTTGTTACAAACGGGAGGCGCACGTCAGGTTTATGGCGCTGGTGAAGCTGCCGAAACCCGAGTGGGATTTGATTAAAATTCTCCTCGTCAAACAAAGCAACAAATCAAAGAATTCTTCATAATTGATGAGCCAGGATGGGGGGGAGCTGAGTGTGAAGCTGAGCACGGAGCCGAGGCTGTGCTGGGCGTTGGGGTGCTGTGGTGGGACACTTGTCCCTATCCCTATCCTTGTCCCCTAACAAGCCGGCTGGGTCCTACATCAGCCAGGAGGACAGATGCTGTGGGAGGCAATTAGTGCTAATGAGGGACAGGCATGGCTGGGAGGAGGGCCAGGTGATGGAGCCCGTGTGAGCCTGGCCGTGCTTTGCAGGTACGATCCCTACAGCAAAGTGTTCTCGCAGGAGCACTACAGCCACGAGCGCATGCACCGCGCCCAGCAGGACGCCATCCTCACTGCCAGCTCTGCCCGCTGCTGGGGGCTCATCCTGGGCACGCTGGGACGTCAGGGCTCCCCCAGCATCCTGCAGGTACCAGCCCCACTGCCCAATGTCCCCACCAGGCACCAGGAGCTGCTGTTGGGTGTGGGGAAGGGCGGGACCATCGCTGCCAGGGTGGATGTGGCACCGCTGGCAACCGATCCGTGGCCACTGGCCCCAGCCTGCGTGGGCAATTAGCAGCAGATGAGGGAGGCTGGACAAGGGCTCATTAAACCCATTCCTGGGGAGAGCTGGCCAGTCTTGGAGAACCCCCCCTCGCCCAGACAGCTCGGCAATTAATTGGCTGGGTTTGTTTTAATTGGATGAACTTCCGATCAGGTTCAGCCTCCCTGCTCAGCTGCCGGGCTGGCGCTTTCTGCACCCGGCTGGGAGAGGGGAGCAGGAGAGCAGAGTTCTGCCCTCTGAGCATGGTGGCCCTGCTCACACCCAGAAATGCTGGGGTGGCCACAGGTGAGATTTGAGGCAGGGCAGCAAGGTCCCAGCTGCTCTTGCACTGCAGGCATGGCCAGGGCTGGCTGGGCAGGGGGTGATTAGTGCCACCTCGGGAGGACAAGGACATCTCTGGCCCCTCTCCTCCTCCTCCTGCAAGCCCTGGCTGCAGCCAGCCCGTGACTGGCGGGTGTCCCAGGGCAGGCAGCCGCTAACGAGAACAGATTGTTGTCATTGAGCAGTAATTACTTCATTAGGCTGAGGCACGTGCTGGGGAGAGCTGGGCACAAGCCGGAGCCATGGCCGCAGTCTGGCCTGTGCCAAAGGGACACGTGGGGCAGAGCTGGGACCCACAGAGGGTCTGATGGCCAGGAAGGGGCTGTGGGCAGGGCTTGGGGGGCTTGCTGGGAGACCCTAACCCTGCCAGGTGCCTTTTTCCCCTGCAGCACCTGGAGTCACGTCTCCGTGCCTTGGGCCGGCCCTATGTGAGGGTGCTGCTGTCTGAGATCTTCCCCAGCAAGTTAAAGCTCTTCCCAGAGGTGGATGTGTGAGTGCTGCTGACCCCCTCCAGCCCCAGGGTGCTCCATCCCTGTGCAATTCCTGCTTGAAGGTGTCCCTGACACTTCTGTCCTGCAGGGAAGGGACGTGGCTGTCCTTACCAGGGTGGTGCTGGCACAGTGAGGACATTCTGGGGTTCTGCTCAGGGGTTTCACTGTGCCTTGTTCTTCCCAAAATGCTCATCCCCACTGTGACATTTCCTTCCAGGTGGGTGCAGGTAGCCTGTCCCCGGCTCTCCATCGACTGGGGAGAAGCCTTCAGCAAGCCACTGCTGACACCCTATGAGGTGAGCACCCCTCTCTGCTTTGTGGGGACAGTCCTGGCTTGGGGTGATGCACCAGGGGATGTCCCTGCACCCAGACAGTGCCCCCTCCTCTCTGCACCTGTGCTCTGTGCACAGTCCAGGCACGCTGCTGGGATATCCAATATTTTGTGAAGCCAGTGGGATTCCCAGTGCCCTAGCAGTGCCCTCCTCAGCACACCAAGCTGGATGCTGGGACCTCTCCCAGCACACCAGCTCCCCCTGTGCAGGCACCACTCGGGGACTCATCCCCTGTCCTCTCCATAGGCTGCAGTGGCTCTCCAGGACATCGAGTGGCAGCAGCCTTATCCCATGGACTTCTATGCCAGCCAGTCCCTGGGGCCGTGGACGGTGAACCACGGTG